TGTGTGTGTGTTTGTGTGTGTGTGTAGTAGAGTGTTGTATGAATGGGTAAATGAGGTATATATTGTGTTGTAAAGAGCTTTGAGTATCTTCATCAGATAGAAAGTCTCTATATAAGTACAGTCCATTTACCATTTATTTATGCATTTTCATGGACAGATGGCTGTAGTTGCCATCTTGGATTTTGACCTTGCAACCCAATTTTTTTAAGGAACCTTTCTTACACTTATTTGCAGCCACACACCAAAACTAGGTTGCCATGTTAAAATCCAAGATGGTCACCACATACTGTATGTAGATTGACTTTAAACAATGCTTTCTAGTGTTTGTATTCATTAAAAGTTTAGTTTCTTCAAATTGCTGTAGTGGCTGAAGATTAACCTATGGGGTCAAAGGCCACCATTGGTCACCCCCTGGCTCCTCCACTGCACCTCGTGGTGGATAAATTGCTCCCTCCACTCACCAAGATCCTTAGGCAGACAAGAAAATAAAAAATAAAAAAATAAAACTACATCTGTTCTACACGTTGGCGGCTGTGGCTGAGTGGTTAGAGCAGTCGTCCTCCAATGCAAGAGTTGGGGGTTCGAATCCAACAGCATTCACATGCCGAAGTGTCCCTGGGCAAGACACTGAACCCCTCATAGCCTCTGATGTGTGTCCCAGTGTATGAATGTGATAAAGCTCTGATTAGTCTCTTTAGAATGATTTGTTCAATTAGCTTTGTAGATATCTAGTAGAGCTGTATGAATGGGTAAATGAGGCACAGATTGTTGTAAAGCGCGTTGAGTATCTTGATCAGATAGAAAGGTGCTATATAATTACAGTCCATTTACCATTTACACGTTGTTACTTCTTCGCTTAAATATCTTGCAGCAAAAAAAAAAAAAAAAGTTTACTTTCATTCTTTGTTCATTTACTGTCCAGAAAAACACTCAGCTATAGAAAACTACAAACATTGACGTACCACTTGTTTTTTCAGCATTACAATAAATTATATTTTACTTTCATTCCGTAATAGTTATAATAAGTATCATAAGTATAATTTTACAATGATGTCATTTTATTTTACTGACATTTAAAGTTCTATCAAATATGCTGTCTGAGGCGTACTTTTTACTCTGCTTTCTTCTTCTCCGCTTGTTTAATTCATAGTGCTTCTGGGGAGTGAGAGACGTGTGTGGTTACTATGGTGACTGTACCATTCACCTGCAGTTGCATTAACGTTTCTTCTGCACTTCTTATCTAGATCATGCATCATTTTATCTGCTTAATTATTAACATTTAGATTACATAATACAACAGCTGGGGGCGGGGGTTCATGGATCAGTGGTTAGAGCATCCTGCCTCCAAAGAGTCAGAGGTTTGATTCCCCCGTGTGTGTGTGTGTGTGTGTAAAGATCATTTATAGTTTAGATCATTCTTAAATGTTGTGCGCAGCTGTAAGTGTCCATTGTGTCCATACGGGGGCGCTCTCAGCCCGCCTGATGTTTGGAGGACTTGAAGGAAACAACCATCATGTTCATGCTTGCATTCATTTTAATATTCAGGTACAAGTTGTAGTAAAGTTCAGCAGACATTACAAGGTGTCAGGTCGTCTGAGACCTCATAAACTCTGGGTTTGTTCTTCAAACCTCAAACTTTTCAGCTTCTTATCCAAAATATAACAAAAATGTTGAGAAAGACTAGTCTGAATCTGAACTGTTCAGTAAAGAAGGAGTCATTTCAACTGATGTTCTTCTCATACCTGAGGCCACCACAATGAGGCAGGCATACATGTGTCTGTTAGTAAAATATCTCATGAGCCACTGAAAGGACTTAAAGTGACGTGGCAGCTGAGTGAAACTGGTTTAGCAACAACAACTTCAGACTGCACTGGGAGTTGTGGTGGTGACTGAGAGTCGTCTTCATGCCCCCCCCCCCCCCCCCCCCCCCCCCCCCCCCCCCCCCC